ACTCTTTAACTTCTAGATGTTTCTGAGAAACTTGTGTCCAACGCTGATTGAATAGAAATGTTCCCCAGCATTTTTAAGGTCCTTCTGAAACGTTGTGAGTAGTATTTTGGATTTTCCTAACAATTTCGTTCTCTTGAAGTCCATTTTTTCCCTGTTGTAGGACAAAATAGTATACCTCGACAGTTTGGGGGTGAAACAAACCGACATCTGGTACGTTTTAGTTGCTTATTGTTTAATGACTGTGAATAGTAGTCGTTGTTCACTGTTCAGAACGTCTGTGATTTATTGGGACCGCCAACACCATTTGATACTTTGAATGTTGTTGATGCCACCATATATAAAACTAGACACGTCAAGCTCCCAAACCTTGCACTTCACTTTTGGAAAATGTTGTTTTGGAATACGTTGCAAGCCATCCATTGTGTTTTCGTACATTTTCATGATTTTAAGTCGTCAAAAAGAAGCATTTAAATAAATTTTTCCATTATAAATTTATTTTCTAACGTCGAAACGCCTCTTAAAACTCCTTCTATGACAAATTACTGGACCAAATTGTGGGACGACATATTGCCAGAGAGATGATTTCTTAGTAAATGAGATATGAAATCTTGTGTTTGCGCAGAAATTCGTGGTTTTTGAAGTCTCGTAACTTCAACTTCACGGGACTATGATCGTTATTGATTAATTTCTTTACGTTACTAGATCGATAAACCTGCCCTGGATCACTTGACACAGTATTATGTGACCATTTAATCTATACGATTCTTCTCCAAAACATCAACATTGTTTGCCCTCGTTCGGTTTCTCATGGGAGCTAAAATGTACGCAAGAACCCTCAAAAGATTAACGCATGTTTATCGACAGAATAATATGCTTAACATGAGTAGGAAAATGTTACATAAAATGGTCATGCCTCCAGCATCAGTCACCGCGGACATTCATTAACAACGATTATTCTTTCTTCGCTATTCAACGTCTAGTGGAAATATAAATTCATGCACAGTTAGGTTGAAAGATCATGTATCAGCAGCCAGTGTAGTTCTACTACATTCGGTGGATGTAGTCCACCGCTACACATCTTCGATGTAGTGACAAAGGCTCACAAGCTTACTGATGCCTGTGCAAAGGACAGAATTCTTCAGGTATTTTTAAGGTGTTGTCGAAATTTGAGCCTATACTGGTCTTCTGGTTGACAATGAAATGAAGATTACTACATATGGCGGACAATGTATTTATTTAAACGGTAACCTATGCAAGCCCATGTGATAGTTTTCATTGCTGTGAACCCTTCAGTACAGGCCGCAAATATGGACTTCCTTCAAAACTACAAATGGAGGCTAGTGGACAGAAGCATCAAACGTTTCTCTCGTGACCCAAGATTCTCCCTTTTTAGCTCGTATCCAACCATATTGAGTTATGTAGTAGACGTGTAGACGATTATCCGACATCGATACGATTGACAAACTTAGAAAATTGCTCCTATTCGATCCCGACTGTTGAGAAAGTTTTGTAGGCTTTATTTATTAGGGGCTCGGGTTATAGCCTGTGCTGTATTGTCCTGTTATATTTGAACGGTTGAATAATACAGCTACTTCAGTTTGTTGAGTAGCTTTAGTATTCACAGAAATTCATTAAACTTCTATCAGCAGTAAGCACTCAAAAAACTGAAAAAACTAAACTAAAAAGCAAATATGCTGGAGCTCTATGACCCCAACTCAGCCTGTTTCAGGGCTAATTGAGCTCTCGATAGCTCCCAAAGTAGTACAGGTTTTTGAAGAATAGAATAAACAGGATCTACAGTCGCGTAACCAGTAGTGGTTTTATTACGTAAATTTATTTTCCAGTTTGGTGTTGGCACATTTATCTTTGCCACTAATAATGATAAACACAAGTCCAAAATTGTAACAATTCAACCTATAAAATCTTACATGGAAGCTACATCGTTATCCATTCTGACTCTTTCTATCGTGATAATTGGCAATAAGATGTTTAATACTTCTGGAGAACACATTTCGACCAGGATAAAACAAAATATTTGGTATGGAAAGGTGTGGGTTACACAGAAGGACCACGATTGCAGGGCTGAGCCACGCCAACCAATCAAGTGTTCCCGTATTCACCATTTAGACCTTATCTTAGTGCTACATGTTGGATTTAAATCCTTGCAATTGTTACATGCTCGGCTTTAAAAATCTTCTAGTTAGGAACCAACACTACTAAGGCACTTACGGCGTTCACGGAACGCTAGGTCATTGACAAGACTGGGTAGCTTTCAAGCGATAACGAAATCTCAGGCACTACTATATGAATTTTGGGTGTCAGAGTTTATCTAAAACCGATACATTTAACAACTTAAACGAATGATAACAATTAACTTTATTGGTTAAGGTTCATAATTTCATGGCGGTTGTTTGTGACTTCTGTGTTGTAAAGTGTCAAGAACAAAACAGGAACTAAAGGAATTCTTCCAATAAACTAGCAATAGTAGATTTTAGCAGTCTGGTAGTTACAAGTTGTGACGTTTGCTATAGTATTCTGTTGAGCAAAAACGGATTAGATAGTAGATTTTGTCCAGTTGAAATCAATCTTACTGGATTTCAGTTCAACCGTGGCAGGTTGACCACAATGTTTTATGTCTACAATGCTCGCCATGGTAACCACATAATAGTGTGGCCGTTGATCCCAAAATGGATCACGCAGTCCAACAAACTTCTTAAAGTAGTGCAGCAGAATAACTAACGAAAGTCGTAAAGTAGGTTTAACCAGTAATACCCTATAGATCTCGCCTTCCTAGAACATCGAGAGATCAATGAATAGGTTCAAATACCAGTATGACAATGCCATCTAACCAAAAGATGTAACAAAAGCCAATATTACTTTCTCTGTTTATTCGAACACAGATGGATGCATTAAATTTTGAAACGTTCTTGAGGCTTTTTAAATGTTAGTGATTTCTAAACCTCAAAACTTGTTTTACAACCGTAAAACGGTTGAGATTTCCAAAGAAAGGGATTTGGCTTTGAATGATGAGCTGCACAAAGTCAAGATCCAGGATTGGTATCGTTATGAGTTGGCTAGCATAGAGACATTGGCGAACCTTTAGTGACCCACTTCTGTCAAGAGAATGCGATTGGTGCAGTGAAAACAATTGTTATTATAACTAGTTATACCAGGAATTGTTTTACTGTATTTGTTTGTTTAACTGTGCTAGAATACATACACTTTTCCGTTGCTTGTGACCTTGTATGAATTCGGTTACGCTCAGTAACCACACTTGTAACCTGGCACGATCTCGATATTCTCTCGATACCACGATATCGCCAACAATTACATCTCGACTACAGCCGTCAATTGCCTTCCGATATTTGGCCTACGGGGGATCTTATCGGTTAACTGGCACGAAGTTTTCCTGCAGTGGTGGTCATAGTCAACCGTGAATCGACGCCGCACTACAGACCCATCACAATTCACAACAAATTAGGTAATTCACAAAGTCACCCACAGCACCTCAACCAGTAAACCTTTTATATCCGAAACGTGTCAACCCAGTGAAATCAGGATTAAGAAGCGAAGAGGTTATAAGATATATTAGATGGAGTAAAGATTTATCGAAAAGGGGCCAATCTATGGCGGATAGCGGCTGTAGGAGATGTGAGGCACGGCGTACTCATACGTGATCTTGTGCGGATGCGTGACTGAGCGCCTTCAACTAGATGAGCCCATTAAAACGAATACTGTCAACATCAAATGTTGGAGACTTACAGAGCTATTGATTCTGAGGATTTATTTGACTCTACACTTAATTTGATCAAACTGTTCACCAAGCATCGTTGACTTCCGGAAAACCAATGACATAATAAAACTAAGGTAACATCTTAGAGCAACACTAAATGTCTATGGGTCCCAAAACCTCACGCGATAGCCACGATAGACAAAGACTTATCAAGCAAATAATGTCCGGTTATACAGTTCAAGTTCATGAAGCACCAATACAATAATGTTGAGTAACTAGAATAATTCTAGATCTTCTTGAGTCACCAACAATTATCCTACCACTAAACATGATGAATTAAACGAAATAATTCAAACGGGTCGCCAATGTGAGCCGCTATACGATAAATTTCAAATTTCTAACCATAGTTGGAAGTCAAGCATAGAATAGAGGATAGGGAGTGTTGTGTGGTTCTGCAACGACATTTGAAGGCATAATAAACATGAAAGAATCAGACAATACTGGTAACCACGTATCGCCTAACTAAACAATCCAAAAACAAACAAGCAAGATGACTGTGTGGAACAACATTTGCATGAACAGGCAGAGAAACATGATGTTTCTATTTTTAACATTGCTTACAGTTGTCATCGCTGTCCTGTTACTTCTATGCTTTGGCCGAACACAGCATTTAGTAGATTTTTATCACGTGGTTCAACTGAGGAAGGTCTGAAGAGGCATATATTGAATATTTTGTCCTTAGAGTTCGTAAGCTAAGCAACATCATCGAATGACGTTTCCAAAGTAATATTCGATGCCTCGATCGATACGAAACGAGTTTTTCTAAGTCCCTCTCGCTGTTGAGTCCAAAGGATAAACCTCTTCTTTCAGGTTTCATAGGCACTAATCCAAGGAATCTCACCTTTGCATATTCGAAAGTTCACTCTAACGAAGTATAAACCGACCTCAAAAAACAGTCCATTCGTCAATATGAATCCTACCCACCAAGTGAAATCAAAAAACAGAAGCGAGGAGGTTCGAAGATATATTTCATAGGCTATCAATATATCGAGGATCGTCTGATCTAATCTGGCTAGCGATTGCAGGGGGTGTTGAGCACGGCGTTCTCACTCGTGATCTGGTGTGGATGCATGACCGGGCGCCTTCAGTTAGGTGAGTCCATTAAAACTAATGTGGTCAGCATCCAATGTCAAAAATTTACAGACCTGTTTATTTGGGGATTTATTTACCGCAACATGCTCAAACACATACTGGTATATGAATCAATTCTGCATAAAAATGTTGGTTCACGCGAAAACTCAATTCGACAATTTGTTTAACTAGGTAGAACACAATAGAACCACCTTCTAGACTTCGAAGCGCGATAACTTCTGTTCGGCATTACCCTGCTTGTTTGTTGTGTCATGGCTGTGTCAGTTGTTGGTTTCGATATTGGCTCTTTGACTTCCTACATTGGTGTCGCTAGAGGTGGCGGAGTCGAAGTGATTACAAACGAGTATAGTGAGAGGGCTACACCGTAAGTCTTCTGTGTTGTTGATCTTTTCAGAACATGTGTTGCTTTTTCCGGGGAATTAGTCCTTGTGGGAACAGCTGCCAAGTTACAACAAGTTATGAATATCCAGAATACTTTTACAAGCTTTACTCGGCTGCTCGGAAAGTGTCTGTCAGACTCCTCAGTTGTGAACGAAAGAAAGTTCATAACCCATCAAGTTGAATCAACTCGTGATGGTCGCATCACACTTTCGGTAAGTCTTTTCATTTAGCTGTTTCATTTTGCCGAGGCTTTTCTGAAAGGCCAAAAAACTCCTTTTGCCCCTGAGCAAATTTTGGCAATTCAAATGAATAAACTTAAGGAAATTGCAGAGACTACTATTGGTTCTAAAGTGGTCGATGTTGTTGTCAATGTTCCGACTTACTACACAGATGCCGAACGAAGATCTGTATTAGATGCCACAAAAGTGGCAGGATTAAACTGTGTGAAGCTAGTGAATGACATAACTGCAAGTAAGTTCTGCTTGGATTCCTAATCTCGTAAGTTGGTACCGCGTACGGGTTTTACCACACCGACTTACCACCAGCTGATCAACAGCCGAAAATAGTTGCATTTGTCAGTGTTGGTTATAGTACTACGCAAGTTGGTATTTGCAGTTTCAACACAGGCAAGATGAAAGTCCTTGCAACTACGTGTGATGCTTTTCTTGGTGGTCGGGATTTTGACGAAAGGCTTTTCAACAAATTCGCTAGTGAATTTCAGCAACAGTACAAACTAAAGGTAAGTTTGTGTTAGGTTGTTTCACTTTTGCAGGGTTCACTATCATCAAAAGCGACTATAAGGTTGCTTCAGGAATGTGAAAAGCTCAAGAAGTCAATGAGTGCTAATTCCTCGGAGTTACCAATCAACGTCGAGTCCCTAGCAGAAGATCGAGATTTAGCGAATAAGATGAAGCGGACTGATTTCGAAGAATTGTGCTCGGATCTCTTGCAGCGATTTCAAATGTTGATTACAAAATGTCTTGATGTGGCTAAGTTGAAGACGGAAGATGTACACTCAGTGGAACTTATTGGTGGTAGTTCACGTATACCGATGATAAAGAACGTTGTCGCATCTGTCTTCAAACAAGAAGGCAAGACTAGCTTAAATGCCGATGAAGCTGTCGCTCGTGGATGTGCATTCCAGGTATGTCTTGTTTCAATGTAATTTCAAGCGAGTTCTATAGTTATGATTAATTCATTTAATGACGGTTTTCCAAGTATCCATCGCAAATATATTTGAATTTGTTATTTGCATGTTTTGCGGTTTGTACCTGGGACCACGAAGTTTTAGGAATCTCACAGTCTAAAATATGTTTTAGAAAATGCAAAAATTGGTTTGTAACAATATTGTTGTTAATTCATAACGATTTTGCTGTTCTCATAGACTTACTGGTCCCAGATACTTGTCTAATTTATTTATATTTGCTTTCGCTTTCTACTGGCTGGTCTAACTTCTCGAGTTAGTCGTAAATTATTAACACCAGTGTTTCCTCACATACCATCTGATTTAGGTGATCCGATTGGTCCATCCAAAAATAGTTTTACTAAACCTGTCTTAAAAATTATCCACAATTTCAGTAGCAATTACCAATCACTGATGCTACGCTATCACTTAGTAACTGCTTACGGAAGGAACACCAATACAAACAAACTTAGTAGGGCTGTTGACTCGCATAAAGTAGTCATAATTTAGAAACAGCTTATTAAAGCGTAGATTGGCAAGATCTTATCCACACCTAGGTCTCACCAACCGCTGTCCAAGCAAGAGGATGAGTTCAAATAATTAACTCAAGCCAAACCTGAAGCAAATTGTTTCCAAGTAATTTATTCCAATATCACTTTATATTCGAGAATACAGTTTGTCAACCTCCGTTAAACAAAACTGCATACTCCAAGTCAGCAAATTTCCAGGTTAGGAAACTGAGAAATTGGACTATTTTGGGGGTAATTAAAGGTATGTAGTGACTTAATCACCATGTAGTATCGACCATCTTATTTATAATTTACTTTCTATTGGATATTTAACTAGTTTGATTCTGAATGTAAGTAGTGATGTGACCTGAAACATCAAGCAGTTGAACTCATTAACTGTTGTCTCAAATAGACAAGAAATGCTAATACCTCATTTGTTGCATCGAAAACTCCATAAACCACGTATGTATACTAGTGTTGTTCTGTAGCAGACCGTCGTACCTAAATCCACTTTGATAAGAACCTACTATATGAAGTGTATTGGAAATTCTGTATTTTTTTAATCAGTAAATAAAGGTATTTAACAATCCAATTAGCCTCTATCTAAGGTGATCAAAACCTAATAACTTTTGGAAGGTCCTGTGCTTTAAACGTGGTTTTAATCTTTACATTATAGGCAGCTATCTGCTCCCCAGCTTTCAAGGTGAAAGACTTCACTGTCATTGAACAATGTTTGTATCCTATTATAATACAATTTGATCAAGAGGAAGGTAGCGAACAGTGCATGCAAACTGAAGAAATTGATGGTACATTAACGACACAAGGCAAAAATATGTGCATCGAAGTTTTTCCTTTTCTCCATCCTATTCCTTCTTCACGTCAGATTGTCCTTTTACGACATGGTGCTTTTACTTTGGAAGCTCGGTACGCGAATAAAGATAGCTTACCAAACCAAAATATTGTCATTGGGACTTTCAGAATAGGAGACACTTCTCAAGTATTCACAGAGCCTCGTAAAATCAAGCTTAAAATGCGTATGAATACCCATGGTATTTTCAATATTTCACAAGCACAATTAATAGAAGAGTATGAAAAGGAAGTTGAAGTTAGTGTTTCTGAGGACAATCCTGTAGTTGATGGACCTCCAAACTCCAAAGAGGAAGTAACCACAGCTAGCAATGGAGATACTGAGAGTCAGAATCCTCCGGTAGATTCCAACCAAACAAACATGCAAGATTCTACTTCACCAAAAAAGAAGACAGTAATGAAAAAGAAGAAATTCACCAAGTATCATGATTTGAGCATTGAAGTTAGTAATATGCAGTTCACTACAAAACAACTCAATGAGTTTTGTGAAATTGGGGTATGTTACACGTTTTCTCGCGTCTGATTTTGTCGCATATGTATCACTAGGTCTCCCTGAGTAAAACTAGAGAGTTCTAAGTTACAAAGATCCTTGTAAATTATAGGTCTTTGGTTCTTGTATTCGTCTTTTCACAACTTGTTAAATAATTTTTAAGGTCTATTTTATATCTTGCACGGCGTACTTGGTAAAAGAATGCGAATCGGTAACCAAATCGACATATTCACAGGGCTTTGACTCACTTTTTGTTATAAGAGCTCATAACAAACCGAGAGCATAAATTAAATATTTCAAATGCGCAGTTTATGTGTATAAACTATGATAATCACTTCGTCTTATTTATTTATTAAACATATAAACATTCGTACAAGAAGGTGCCAAGTAGATAAGCGCCACATAAATCATTCCATTCGTGTGGGCTGTGATACTGCCCGTGTGCTTAAACCGGAGCAGGTGGTTTTCTTAGTGGGCCACACCCCGAGCCTTTGGCCTAACGGTCTAATCCACAAGATAGTGAAGCGCAACGTCAGGAGATGCAATCGTGGTAGCCATTGACCAAAAACTGGTTCATACGGTATTTGTTCCTTCAGAATTCTGGAGCCTATGTGCACCATCTGTTTGGAATAAGGTGGACACTTGATATCCGTCAACCAGGTTAAGGCGCTGGACATTCGCATTTCGTCCTCTCAATTTTGTAGACAACACCCCAACCACGAGAAAGCATTGGGTTGGACTTCCCTGACAGTGACTGTATACGCGTGGCCGTGTGAGAGCGAACTTCCCCTACCCCCCTGTCGTACCAGGGTATTTGGGGGCTTTAAAGTTCACAATATCTGGGAATGCAAACTCGGAAAAAAGTCTTCAAAAATATGTCTGATTACCCTTGCTTTGCTTAGGGATTGTTATTTTCCAGAATTCATTAAATGTACCATTGGATTTCTGTTATTGTATTTAAAAATTTATATACTTATGGCAGTATTTTCGTTCATTTTTGGAATGTTCTTCAAACCTACAGTCTGATCTGGCTTTTTGTAGTCATAACATCTATCTTTTTCATACTAGATTGAGTTTGTTGCTACAAAGAGCTGTCTTAGTTTAAGCTCTAAGCATTCAGATAGTATTTGTCTGGCTGTATAAATTTGTATGTAAATAATTCTCACCAAATTGGACTTAGTGAATTTGAAATTTTTTAATAGCAACCAATGAAAGATATTAGCACTAAGTCCCTCTCCTTATTTTCATGTGCTGACTCATCACCACGGTTTTATTTCCCTATGTTTTAAACATTCTTAGATAGCGTGTGATTGTGGTTAATCTGATGATATACGGAATCTGTACTTTAATGGTACCCATTATCCAGCTGACCCCCCAGATGGATAGATTAAGCTTAGCAACAACTGACCATCACTTCATTTGTCTCATTCAGACATGTTAAGGGACCACCAACACTTTTTAAGGCTAACTTTTACTTCTATAACAGACTAGATTTTTCTTATTGATGTTCTTCTAGTGTTGTCCCGATCACTACAAACTACTCAAGCTCTGTGAATAGTTCAACGTTGTGACAAAACCACAAGTTGTGTATCACGATTTTCTATCATCCATCAAACTAAAAACAAGTAAATATTAGTATTTCCTAGAAATTTTCTTAAAATGGGTTCGCTAAAATGAAAATGAGCCCCGGACAAGTGTTCGAGTCTTACGGTTAATAGTAATTTGTATACACTGAAAATATATGCCATGTTTGCGAATTTTGCACGACATCTCATTTTTGTCTTTAATAGGCTAATCTCATTCAACAGGACAAACTGGAACGAGAACGAGTCAATTCCAAAAATGCAGTTGAGGAGTATGTTTATGAAATGCGCTCTAAACTTCAAGGACCATTAAATCCGTTCGCTTCACCTGCTGAGTCAGAATCACTACTTCAGTTATTAGATATGACAGAAGAGTGGTTGTATGGTGACGGTGAGAGTTTAAAACGTCACGTTTATGTGGAAAAGCTCGCCGAGTTAAGGAGCAAGGGAGATCCAATCGTCCATCGAGCGAACGAACATCTTAATCGTCCTTTAGCCGTTGACAACTTCAATCGATCACTTGTGGTGAGTTATCTCATTAGAGTGTATACGCTACACTGTAATCCATTCATTAAACCTGCTGCGTCTAACATTATATGAGTTTAAACTACAGTATTAGCCAAATCTAGTCATCTCAAAAATAATGTTCTGAATTCCATTCTATCTGGTTTAAATGTCTCTCTGGTGCCTTCACCCTCAATGCAGTCTAGTCCTTTGATACCTGTATAAATCACTAACTAACAGTATTTGTCACGTTTGCATAAAATTATGTGATGACTAAAATCCCACCAAATTTGGTGGCTATGTAAATTAGTAATCAAGCACGCTTATTATTCAATCACCCAGGTTAGCTCAGATTTAGATGCAACCCAATCCTAAAGCAAGATTTTGCATTTCGAGGGGGGAAATCGCATTCCGAACATGCTTGCATTGTTGCGTAGAGTGGTCGGAAGACTGCATTTTGTCATCGTCTTCACAAAATAGAACTGTCGTCGGCATATTCTAGGTCAACAAGTGAATCTCCCGGTAAAAGTTCAACTGGAAATTTAAATGAGGAAAGTGTTATCTCTAGAAGCACGTCAACGAATGGGTTAAACAAGAATTTAGAGTCGACAGCCCTGACAAACACCACTTTATGTAATCAATCCTGATGACAGTTCGCCATAGGCTCTCACTCGGCCGGTTGTGTTTGAGTAGAACCTTTTTAGGGTTATTGTACTTCTTTGGTACTCCTTTCAGAGACAAACGCTGTTTACGATCAAGAGTCAAATGCCGACATAAGATCGAGAAATACTACGGTTATGGGGCGTCTGAATTTTTGTGTTCTAGAGCCTGACGTAGTGTGAATATCTGGTTTATACAACCACGTCCAAGTCAGAAACCAGCCTGTTCTTCACGAGCCTTAATTAGGCGTCGAAATATTATTGAGGCTACTATTTTAGACACTATTAGTCAAACTGATTCCTCTGTGATTGTCACAAGAGGACTTTTGTCCAGTCAGATGGGGTTACGTCCAGTTCCCAAATTCTACCCTAGACCTCAGTTAATCTCACTGCTAATACTGAGCCACCATCCTTAAAAATCTCAGGAGTAAACCTGTCAGGGCTTGCTGCTCTCCCTCGTTTCAGATTTCCTATGGCTTTTTCAACTTCGTAAAGAGACGGAGGACCTACATTAACTTGCCACTCAGGTTGTGACTGGAGATCGTGGTAAACCGAAGTGTGGCTGAAGGCCAGTTGAACTGATCCCTAAAGTGTTCTGCCCATCGATCCAATCTCCTGAATTGAGAATGTATAATATGTCCATCTTTCTCTGAGAGTGTTTCGCTAACAGTCGGTTTCCTAATACCGGTTTCCTTAACAAGTCTAAACAGTTGTCTGCTGTTACCTATTGCCGCTGCCTTTTCCATCTGTCTTGCTTTCGCTACCCACCACTGTTTACGATCATTGCGTAGGCTTCTTGTCAGCTTGCACTTAAGCTGCCTCCGCTCTTCATTATGTTCAGAGCCAGATGGAATGAGTTTTCGAGCATCTATCAGTGCGGTAGATGATGCTGAGATCCAGTGTTTCTCTCTAACTTTGTGGTTTACCTTACTAGCATATATCACTGCTGTTTTCACAGCTTTTCGGATATTATTCTATGCTGCCTCGGTGTGAGCATCACTTACATTGTTGTCTAGCTTTTTCTAGTTGTTCCTGAAATATATTCTTAGCTTGGCTATCATTAAGTAGAATCCTAAGAGGTTTTGCTGCAGCGTCTATCCTACGTTCAGTAAGTCACAGACATATGCGCTCTCACTAGAGCATTATTTGAATCTAAGCAGTCTTCTATCAGGCCCCTCCATCGGTGACTGATAGAGATGTAGTCTAGTTGGGTCCAGTGTTGGGACGGATTCTGGGGTCGCCATGTCAAAGGATGTTTTTTCTTATGCTTAAAGTTAGCATTTGCAAGATTGAGGCGGTTATCTGAGCATAGCTGCAACAGACGGTCGCCATTATCTGTTCTTTGAGCCACGACGCCAGAAAATCCACCCGGGTGTCTTTTCTCTCAGTTTACCTACTTGAGCAATGAAGTCACCAGCCATTATTACTGCACCAGAGCGCCCAACATTTGGGAGGTCAGAAAGCTTTCTGTGAAACAGCTCTTTTATCTCATTTGAGTTGCAGTCAGTCGGAAAGTTGGCAGAGACAAGTGTCTCTGTCTTTCCGAGTCCTTACTGTTCCGTCTAGTCGGAGAGCGCACAAGCGACTATCTGCTAGGATCCAGTCTAAGAGAGCTAGTTCTGCCCTTGAACACAATACTACACCTGCACCAGTGAGGCCACGGAAAGCAGCGTCAGGGCTTTCAGATATACGAAACGTTTATCGAGATGGTTCTTTATTTTGATACAGTGAGGTCAAACGAATGACGCTACTCGAATCCTGTATGCGCGTTTCGGGGACGCAGCATACATCGATGACCCGAGATTTTAAAGTCCTAGCTAAGAAAGCCTGTTGTTCTATTTGGCAGTGTTCAGACGTTAAAAGCTCTTACATGTAGTTTAGAGCGTGGTCTCAAGAGACCAGGAATAACGTTCCGCGTACTCGAATCGTTTGCCCTAGCTGTGCGTGTTATGACCTTAATGTCTGGCTTTTCTATCACGCGAATTATCCACCAATCAGAATACGACTTATACAAATCTTCACACTATGCCAACCAATGAAGTTCAACCGGTATGAGCAGTCTAGCGTCCTTATCGGTCCTATGTCCTCCAAGCCCGTCCACTAGAGTCCAGAACACAACACCAGCTTCAGCAATATGAATCGAATCGCTTATTTCAGACATACTCGGTTTATATATCAATCAGACAGACCATAAAATAGAAAATAACATGTGTACACAAATAAGCCAAAAAGTCGCTGTGAATGAGGGGGACAGTAACTAATAGACTGAGCGTAGCTTAAGAACCGTAAATCGTACAATAATTAATTATAGGTCAAAATAAAGCTTATCATAAAAGGAATATAAATATACATAGTGTAATTGTTGAGTAGTTATACAATAAGAATATTTATAGAATACTAGTCCATTAATAGTCCTCAGAAGTTACCCGTAATTTAGTCTTCACTCGGATATAACAGTGCGAGGTGATAAAGGGACATGAGAAGGGTTAGTCGTGGAGATAAGAGAGTTAATAGGAGGTGTAGAAAAGATTTGAATGTGACCAACTTGGTCTCGTGTGCTGTTACAGGTATGATGGTTGATATCACTTCCCGGCTGCCCACACCGTGGAAGGGTATTTTTTGAGGAGCCTATAAAAAAGTGAATTAATGTTGGTCTTAACGACTTGGGAGCGTGACCGTAGAGCCCAAGGGACAGTTGCTTAAGGCCGGTCGCGCGCGGCCTTTTTGTGGTAGGTTTTAAACGTGTTATCTCCGTTCTTCAAAGGGCCTTATCACCCGAGACGAAGATCCGTGAGGTGGGAAATTTTTAGGGTCGAACTTTTTAAACCCTACCCTTCCTTGTAAGAAGGCAGCACCGCTGCAGATGCTAGTTGTTCAAGGGAACCACCATACTACTATCACACAATTCTCTACAGTCAACAGTACGACTTCGCCCTCAGACCTTGAGTTGCTTCTTTTAGTCTTACCTTTCTCTAATCGACATACTTGGTATGGTAGAACCTACAGGAACATATGTTCCAGCCAATGTAGCTCGGTTTGGTCATCACGATAGACAAGCCCGACCACCACGTAATGTAGCAGCTACGGTCGATTATATCCCAAGATGGTTAAGAATAAATGCCAAATTTATCTTATACGAGTCCGTATTTTGGTAAAAGTAAACGACCAAGATTATCACTGCTGTTGGTGTTTTGTCGCTCAATCTCTTTCTGGTGAGTTTGCTTTCGTCACTTCCGCCAAAATAGCGTGTGAAGTGCTTTTCCATCTATATTCGAAAGAATCGTTCAGCTAAAAATAGTAACAAATATTATTTGCTTTTTAACTAATGACACATGATATCAGTCAGTTTGATTATAAAGGAAGTAGGTTAATAGAAGGTTGTTTACTGATAACTAGTGTTCGACTTGATAATCACTGTAGAACTTTGTATTGTCCAAACAGGTTCTTAAAATCGTATATGACGAAATAGATTGTAACACAGCAACCTAATTAAAACTCTAGTATCCTAGGACTTTATTTCAGCTTGTGATAGCTGTAGGTGCTCAAGTCTATAAAATCACTTTTATAATGTATTTTTATTTAACTGTATTAAATATAAATTTTTTCATGCAAATGGTGTCATTGGTTGTGTTGATTCAAACAAGTGGCATCAAAAAGATTTTCGAAAACTACTAAGGTAGACCATGGTAACCATATTTCGCAGACTAAGCTAAACATTATGGCTAGCTCACTAACTTACAAAGTACTTGACGGTACATTTTTGTCTTGATAAAATCCAACGTCTTGATGAAAATCTTATTCCACTCAGTATTTATTCAAAATGTAAGAAATATATTTAATCTTATAAGGGTACATAGTTATGGAAATCCTTCCTGGTCTTTACCGAAAACCACACATTGTTTATCTGTTTCCATCATAGTCAACATACTTAAGTGTTAGCAAAAGTACGATATACTTGTAACTGTATAGTATTTGAAATCTGTTCTTTTGGTTGTCTCAGTTGGAAAATTTTCCTATGTTTGACTTTCTTTGTTGTACAGCGTATAAGGAAAGTGCTAGACAGTATTGCAGCTGGAGAACCAACTTATGACCACTTAACACAGGCGCAGGTTAATCAGCTGGAAGATATGATAGTACAGTATGAGACATGGTTGAACCAGCAAATGATGCAACAAAATCCTAGACCACAAACTTCAGATCCTGTAGTTAAAGTTACAGATATCGTATCTCAACAGCAAGTAAGTAGTATGCGATTTTCTAATTTTTCCAGGTTATTTATTTATTTAGACACAAATATTAGTACAAGGAGACACCAAATATTATATATATATATATATATATATACGCCACAGAAATCATTCGGTTTTTGTGAGGGTTGAAATATTCCATGTCTCGAATAAACATGTTAATATTATTGTACGGATTCATTGCGGTATCATCTACTAGTTCTTTTTCAGAATAGCGTTTAACTATCAGTCTGTTGAAATTCATTAAATCCGTAGTAGACAAAGATCCCTGGATGCATGCAACGTTTTAATTCACTTGAAGTCGAAAACCAGTTTTCCAGGATAAAATTATAAATCAACAGGTTCTAGCAAACTATTGTTTCGCGAGATGCTTAAATATTTATTATAACGTAGTGATCAGTTTTTAAGTAATTCAAATGTGTATTCTTTCAATACACCAAACTTTACATTATTAAGGCAAGGAAAAAATCTAGCAACCTTTAATACCATTTAGGTTTCTTAAGGCCCACTGGATTAGAACTCCAGAGTTTTCACTACTAGTTTATGTTTTCCGATTCAACACATTATTTGAGTGTCGCAATATCCGGTATATGGTCTGAAGCGCGTCACCTCTGGCGTAGGCGAAATATCCGCTTGCTAACCAAAAGGCAAGCTTACTGTGCAAAATTTCTCTCCGTCCTACTTTATATGTATTTTGGGACCACCGAATCAGCAATGCCTGATTACTGGATAGAGATGGCAAGTGGGTTATCGAAGTAGTAAGTCTTTACCAGCTGATTTATTGGGACATATGTTACGTATATCCAACCAATACCCACCCCGACGAGCGACGCCGTCTGGCATAGGAGTAGGCTAGAAAAAATCTAGGGTTGGCCAACCCGAAATCCGACGTCAGTCCATGGAATCATTGACAATTAGACTAAGCCATGTTAATAGTTGTAAACTACTTCATCGGGGTCCGCGTGCTTATCGTAACCAGCGATTAGACTGAATCACATGGGTCAAAATCGTTTACAATGACGCAGGCACATCCATTCATTGTTTCTTCCTAGATTCTAGGCTTCTGATTTCCATGAAATTTATCTCACTAATTCATATTTTCGTGAATCGTATCTGTGATACTTAATCTTTTATATTACCACTAATACTGTTACTAAATCTACAACTCTTAGATTTTTCATAACAATTTCATTTCTCTCTGTGCTAATGGGATATGGCAACTTGAATTGATGTACATACGTACTAGGTTCTACGTTGCGACTGACTTATACGAAGAAAGATGAAGATTCAGACAGAAAGGAGTTATTAGCCTAGAGCATGACACAAATGTGCTTTAAAACAAGTCATAATGAATTAACATGACGAGATAAATAGCGAAATAGATCTTCATAATGTAATAGCAACGATAAGAGAAAAGACTAAACCTTATAAATCTGGTTCGGAATGAGTAGTTGATAAACAATAAAAAATCAAATGTTTCTGCAAGTTTATGGGTAATCCATACTTATAATTTCTTTATCCCGCTGAAGGATACCTCTTTAAGGAACTGGTTTAGTGTTAATATTTTTTCGACCTTGGGACATGGATTTTGCTTAGTTACTAAGTTCAGGTTTATATTCTTGAACTTATACCATTTTGTGGACCTATCTGATTATTAAAACTAAAGTGAATCGGAGATTGGACACGGTACTAATGGTTTAACTGACACTATCCTCCAAAAATACCCTATTGTTCGTACAACCAATAGCACTGTGGTATATGCTACTTATGTCGTATGTAGCACCAATCGGAAGTGGAAGGCATACGAGCAAAAGATTAAGAAGATTCAATTGAAGAGGACAGAAAGAAACTTTAATAACAACAGAATTGGAAGATTGGTTTTCATAGTTTACAAAAGCAGGTAACAGCTACTTACGTCATATAACTCACGTAGCGAGTTAGTCATTGTTCAGAGTGTGTAACATCGTAACATCGTTCTACTGTTAACAGAATTACTTTTAATATTTTTACCATTTAAACCCTGTTTTTCTCATTTATCTTTTAGGCCATGGAATCAGTGTGTCATCCAATTATCAATACTCCAAAGCCTCCAACGGCGTCTCATACAAATAATACTCCAGACCTTAACTCTCAAAATTCTGGACAGTCCAACGATGTGAATAATCCAAACACAAATTCTAACCCCGGAACAAATCATTCCAAAAAGGGTGCTGATGATGAACAAAATATGGACTTAGATTGATGGGAGATATGACTTATTTCTTTGAAATCTTATAATGTTTCATTCAGCATTTTGTCCAATTCTTCATTGTTTGACTTTTGTTATGACTTTCTAAGTGGGTTCTGTATTATAAAGCGTTACAGAGCGGCTTCTCACTCCTCATCGGTATGAATATGAATGGTAGGACAAAAAGTCTAGAGAATTTTCTAAACTTTCACTTTAATGCAATGCCCCGAAGAGTTTTTGAACGTTCCCCGCTTGAAGTCTCCTGGTGGTCTCAGTGTTCTCTTTTAGCCAGAGCACTTCATTCGGAACAATTGTCTAGATGTATCTCATTTCCGCCCTCTGATGTGTTGGATATATACGTTTGGTCACTACTAGTTTATTGGTGAAGTAGTTCTGCCACTAACTTCCGTCTTTATGTCGTTCGAGTACTTAGTTCGCTATTTCGTAAAGTTCTCTGGGTTGTATGGCCGTTTACTACGAATATTCAAACTTACTAGTGGGGAATTATATTTGAATTAATCTCAGCAATTTAAATAATCCGAACGTTTCGTCCAGCAAACCCTGAAGAAGTCTGCTGGATGAGTTCTTGGGGTTGTTTAAATTTCAATCGGTGAGATTATTTCAAATATAATTTTTACAAGTAATGTCTTCTCTACACTTGGCGCCCAATTTTCGCCGAAATATTCTTCCTAATACTAACGAATACTCGTATAGAATGTTCAAACTGTTGCTGTTGAGTCCTCGGTCGACTACCTGTAGGAGAAATTCCTCTTTGGATTTTACTATGTTTTGTGAAAGCGAGACTGGGCAACGTCCACTCATCTTATGGGGCTTCTAAGTATATGTTCTGAATACAATTAATATTAAGTAAAATGCCTTCATTTGATTGGATGTAAATTTAATAAGTAGAGTTACGTCATTGCACTTAAGCGGCCCATGGCGACTAATGGCCATTGAACGACTGATAGTACGTTTACGTCAGTTTCTGACAATAGAAACATTTAAAATCCAATCTAGACCTAGACATGATATCACAGTAGTGGATGTATCTTGTCAATTAACAGGTGAAAGCCTCGATCGTAAGTTGAGCATGCAGCTTCTACTACTGTCAAGTCATGTGTATACGCATAGTACCACGGTAACACCAACCTAGTGTAATGGGATATCCTGAGTGATATAGTCAGTGTTTGGTTACAGCGACTGAATTAAATTCGACGTCAGCTACCATGCCTTTATTCAAACTAACCCTACTCTACGAATCCCCGGTTCTGTTCATTTAGTCAGTTTGACGATTTAAACTTTACTACCAAATAATGAACAGAGGCTCGGCAACAATTAAAAAAAATCAAATTTCCGTGTGTTTTAACGCTGGCTGGTCATTCATGTATAAAGTTGGGTTATATTTTGTTTTAGACTGATCTTGTTCGATTTTAAGTGCGTTGGGACTGCATCTCGCCTCATTAGGTTATATGTCTCCAAATCAGTCGTAGGTCATATTGTATCTTTAGTTCACTGGTCCAGTATATTCTAGATTTGGAAGGCGATCCAGGTAGACGCTAAACACTTAGGAATAAAGCAAGAAGAAATATCGCAGCAGAATAACATGGGTTCTCCATCTACTTACAACCCGAAGCCGAAGTATCACTCAGCTACAACGTAGGACCAGGCGCATATATGCGTCGGTCTAAGTAGCCGTACCTCATTAACACAAGATGAACACTGGATTCATAAAAGTAGTTAATTCAAAGGTGGTAATATATAAAAGAAAGATTGCAATGAGGATATTGTACAGGAAGAAAGGTTTAGTACATAGAAAGAAAAATATGAAGTGGTTTTGATCTCTTAGTTTAGTAGAAGGCAGAGTGCATACACCGACACCATTGACACTCAGAGTCTCCAATCATTGGTTACGGTAGTCACGCGGACCCCAACTAAATAGTCTGCATCTACCAACATGGCTCAGACTAGAAGTTAGTGACTTCAAGCACTGATGCCACGTTTTGGTTTGGTCGCCCCTAACTTTCTCCCAACACCGGTTAGCATTGCACGTCGCGGTAATCGATGTTCAGGCATACGTAACACGTGGCCCAACCATCTCAGTCGATGAAGATTCGCAACCTCATCAATCAGTAAGACGAAATAACTCTACATACTTGACGTCAGAAATATGAAATGAACTGAGTTAAAGTGTGGAAACAGAATAAAGCAAAGAGACCATAATACAGAAGAGCTAAAATTGTTCCGACGTTCATTTGCTCGAAAGTTCTGATATTGAATTTAAAGTATATAAGCTTTGGCAAAGCTGTTGCAACAAAATGGTTAAAGCCGAATCCACGTGTCCAGAAGGGCAGTTATAAATCTTGTTTTATCCTGGTGACCTAATTTTTGTGAGATTATTACGCGAGGTTTTTTTCCATGAACTGTAATCAAAACTCTAGTATCTTCACACTTCTGAGCTTTACTCAACTAGTCTGTATTGTGTAGTCTACCTTCTGTTTCGAGAAGAGAAATATTTTTGTTTTCTTACTCTTCTAGAATATCCATATGTTTAACCTTTCAATGAGCAAATAATTTTATTCTGTATCATGGTCTCTTTGTTTTATTCTATCTCCACACTTTAACTCATTTCATTCAATACGTTTCTAACGTCGTATGTAAACTTGTTTCGTTTTACTGAATAATATACTTTGGATTTAAGTTGCGATATTTGTTCTTTCTTTATTTCAGTTAATAAGCGGAAAAAGTTGTATAAACGCTTTCATACAGCGGCTAACCAAAATTACAGAGATGACGTTTACTAGGACTTTCTTTGATTTGAATGGTTTGGTAGAAATAATTCATCAGTTTAAAATACTAGTGATCCCAGTCTGTCATAAATGAAATGAAAACGATGTGGTTGGTGAAACTAGGATGTGATTGGCCACTGAGTGTGGATAGACAGTTACTGACTGCTTAAAATGTGATCTTCATATTGATTTCTACTTTGAACTCACTACGCATAGAGTGGACTGTTTGTAATTGTGTCGAAAAAAATATAGTCTACCCTATTTCCTTATTGTTGGTTGTCTCTTTTCAAAACGTGATCCAGTCCTTGTGTAGCCTATCAATCGAATATCCAGTTTAGTAGTGATATCATCTTTATCACTGGTCTTATTGTTGTATAGAAGTAGTATATTTTAGTAGCAGAAAGTATTCTTATTCTATGGTTATATCAGAAGCGCCAACTAGTCCCATTATTATCTGGCTAACTGATAATAATGTTTTTATACGATCGTCATAAGTTAAACTTTGGTTGATAAACTATCAACATTTCATTTGATATACAGTATAGTACTTTATTAAAATTATTTGAGCACCTATAGAATACTATCGATTATAAAGTAAATCCATTTACAAGATTGAATGGAACACTTTTATTCAATTGAAATGGATTATTCATAAAGATGAAAAGAATGTCCAATACAGTACCGTGACATCTAGCTTGTGTAAATGATTTCAGTTTATCTTTTAATGCCTTTACTAACTTTTGCTATTGTGGATTATCTTATAATTAAAACAAATTCATTAAAAAGAGAACCATTAACTGAATCTCATGTTATTTTTATTATACATCTTATACGTATTTCAAAAGAACGGCTACCCAATCAACTTCATCAAAAAACACCAACCGCACGCAGCATCAGAACCCAAGTCAAGCACAAAAATCAACAAAAGGATTACCCTACCATACATACAAGGAATATCAGAAACTGCAACGAGACTGCTGAAAACCTTCGGGATAGGTGTGGCACACAAGCCGACAAAATCACTACAATCAATCCTATGCAAACCAAAGGATGAAATAACAAAGGAAAACAAATTAAACATCATGTACAAAATAAATTGTGCCAACTGCGAACAACACTAAGGCGGTCGCCCCCTTCACATTTGCCTACATGAACATCAATTAGCAGTCAAACGCCATGATATCTCTTCACTTATATCAATACACGTGGACAACTACGGACACTCATTCGATTGGGAAAATGTAGAAATCTTAGACAGAGGAAACTCCAAAAACATCAGAGGATTTTTAGAAGCCTGGCACTCAGGTCAATCAACAAACATATTGAAATCAATCCAATTTATCAACCAATCAGGAAAATTATGCACAAATATAGGAACAAAAATCAAACCAATGGGAGACACAACCAAAACGAAGAAGTAAACAATGATAAATTTAAGGTCAATAAGAACCGACCAACACTGAGGTGCACAGAACAAGCTGTGAAACACAATGGAGAAATTCGAACACTCCACTTCTATCTGAAGTTTGTGCTGATGATGTCGTTCAGAAGAGCGGTGAAAGCTCCATGACCAAACCATCCAGCTCAGAGAACGAAATTCCACCAAAGTCATCCATCTGAGCTACAAATCTTCCCCATCATCTCAAGATCTAGCAAATGCTTTGTAAAATATAAGTGTTAAATAAATTAATTTATCACCATGTATGGTACACTAAAATGTTGTACAAACACCGTACTGACAAATTTCAAAAGTGATTTGACACTTTAGAAATCCTCCGGAATAAATCTACAGTTGACTACTTTGATATCATGCGGTAAGAACTAAACCAGATTAGCACTAATTTCTATTGGAGGTTAAATTTGCCAGTAGTTTCTATATCATCTAATAGTTTATTTGTTAAATAAATTATATATATATTCAATGTTCTGTATATAAGCATATTATTTTCTCGTTAGATGAAAAATTCCATTCCGTTGGTTAAATGCCTTATTTTCCAATATCAGTTTGATCAGGTAGCTTACATTAATAATTTAGTATCGCAAACAGTTATCAGCCGGTTATATTGTCTCATTGAATGTGATCAATCAATCAACAGTTATTTATTTCATTTTATCAATCATAAATTCATTCATAAAATCTTAATTCATAGGATATCTAGTCAATTTAAAGAGGCAGAATGTATTTGTAAAATCTCAATGAAGGAATTTGAAGTAAATCCAACGTTTCGCCTGGCAATCCGGTTCAAGCTTTTTCAAGGAAACATAATGAAACATCAAAATTATCGAATATAAATAGATACATGATTCTCCAGTTTACTGTATACTGAATAGGTCATTCAATTAACGTTGGATTTACTTCGAATTCTTTCGCTGAGATTTTACAAATACATCCCTCTTTTTTAATGTCTCACATCAACTCGGCGCCCAAATATTGTGAAACCATTCGATTAAATTTAGACGAGAGTTCTTATATATCTAGTAACTGTTTTTGTTTTTAAGATAATCATATGCGAAATTCAATTAATTTTTAGCTGTTCGTGTTCTGCTACAACTTTTCGCTTCATATTATTATACAATCATATGTCTAATTTCTTCTATACAAACAACAAATCGATATAAGTATATGAAAATCAACTAAATGTGTTGTGTATGACAAGATACTTTCGAATGTAACCTGAAAAATACTTTACGGCTGCGTTATTAGTAAGTTTTTTATATCTTCTCACTAAGTGAGTTTAATTACTCATTCTATCAACCATAAAGAATACTACCATTCAAAGTGAATACCTATGTTTTGATGGAGTTTTGTTCTCTGAGCTGGATGGTTTGGTCGTGGAGCTTTCATTGTTCTACTGAACAACATCATCAGCACAAACTTCAGATAGTGTGAAATTTCGTTTTATTTAAAAATATCAAATGTTCGTGATGTTAAATATAAAGCTCAATAAACTCACACTAATAATGATCATGTACTGTATTAAGTCTACTAATCGAACTCTTGATCCGATTTCCTACTTGTTTTTAATAAATAAAGATTAAATCTTTACGACAACTTGAACACAAGAGAAAAAGTGCGGAGTGCAAAACTCAAAGACTAGTGATATTTATTTGACTTTCAAAATGAATCAGAAAAATGGTTTACGAATACATCGCTGCTTATGTGATTTATTTATAGGTAGATTAACAGTCAGATTTGTAAAAATTGAACTGACTTATAGTTAACAATAGTAATTCAGTAACTTACTGTGTGAACACATGGTTACAATACTATACAATTAAACATTTATAATCCTTCTTGAGATGTGGATAAAAATCGATTTCATATATCTTTCGTACTCCAATCGATTAAGCCACTACTCTCCACACTATCGACCAACTTTAAAGAAAAGAAATTTCCGGAATTCTGATAAGCACCTGTGACTGATGGAGTTCAATCCTGTCTATTGTACAGCAGTTATCCACCAAATGCAATGAGAAACGGCTTCGTAATAGTGCAAATTTAATGAGTTTAGAAATTTAAATGATGAATTACGAAATTAATGGTCTTAATGTTAGGTGCTGGCTACGAGATCGACCGTCATAGGTTCATTACCATATGTAATCTTGGGTGGTCAATGTTGATGAGTCCTGTATTTGGATGAACAAGAGTCCCCTTTCTCCTGCTTTTCGATGATTTTATAACTCAAATCAGTTTATAATGTCAACTATAAAAAGCAGCAATTTCGACAAATCTCTCGTACTTATATCAAAACAGTTTTCATAATAAATCGCTATGAGCTGTGAATACTAAAAGCCGGGAGGCAAACTGAATGGTCGGTTCGTTCTCGTTTAGAACTTTCAAAGTGCGTATATAAGTGATACTGAACTTAAAATTTTCAGATCTTATGGTAAGTAAACATTTAAATAAAATAAATATTAAGCACCTACTTAGTGGTAATTAACTTCCGTACAGATAGTCAACAGTTATAACAGTAAAAAGATCCAAATTTCAATTCAGCCTGGTTAAAACTTAAGTGATTCATTTTCTTACGAATATCACTGGAAAATTACCATCATACTATGGTCAGTAATGACTGAAATCGAAAACAATAGTGATAATTTAGTTTGAAGTTACATACTGAGTGATTTTGTATCCATCAGATTACCTAAATATATGTATATAGTTCAGTCCTGTTAAATATTGTAGAACATTACTATTAACTAGATCTTCATATTAGGACATATTACATCTGAAACAAGTACTGTGATGATTTAGCTCGATACAATGGAAGATAACAAACAATGTTGATAGAAATTAAACTTAATGACTTGCCTCCTACTAACAGATACAATCATTTATGTACAGATTTATATAATAATAATAATAATAATTTATATATTCTGATAATAATAATAATTACAGAATTCATGTCAATTTACAGGCATGATCAATTCGATATAAATAATAACGTTAGACGTGCAGAACAAACATGTGATAAAAGAAAGTCTTAAGTACACTAGTTCAGTAATTGTTTAAGTAGTACATATATTACAGCGATCCAATGCATTAGCCGGGAGCTTTTAATATTTCTTAAATAGACAGCCTGTTGATTTATGAACGGTGTAATTAAGGTCATTTCCTGCGCCAGATCGAATTAATGATAATTATCTACAACTAGAGAAATTGAAACGAAAACAGAGCACGGAACAGCAAAGGAGTAATTACCAAAATATGTCAATCAGGTCTACCAAATGCGTGTGTCATGTGACACAGTGATATTCTGTTGATGTTATTCAAATTAGTTAAACTTGCTGGGGACGGTGTTAACATAAAGTGACAGGAAGTAGGTGGTTTTACTTAGGGAATGCACTAATAAAAATGGCTAAACATTTAAAGTTCCTATAATATCACTTGTGAAATGAGATACACTTACAG